CTTGCGTGGGGACAGAGTGGGGGAAGCGCTCGAGCGGCGAGAACAAAAAATTGAGGGGAAGTTCGACACTAACCAATATAACTCTAACCAGAGTCCACTGTACTTCTCTCTCCAAATTAAGACTATCAAAAGTCTTATCTTAAGACCTTTAAAATATTAAAATAAGGTATTCTTTTTTTTGGATGATCATCAATGATTCTGCTCTTGATATAATGATTCATTTATTCCAAACGAGATTCGTTAATAGTTAACGAATGGTTCACTTGAATGGCGAAAGTCAAGTCAAACAAGGCTTCTCAAATGTACATTCGTTAACTATTAACGAATGAACATTTGTTGGGACCGAATAGACCCTAACCTCCAACCAAAATCCATTCGTTAACAATAACTAATCCGTTCTATCAGTGCTTCTGGTCCTGGTTCTGCCGTCGATTAAGTCTGATCGCTATCCATTGGACAGCGGGTGGGTGGAAGTGGGGAAAAATTTCAAGTAGAGTTTCAAACGTCTTAAGGTTTTCAGAAGTCTCAAATTAAGACCTTTAAAAGTCTGAACTCAACATTTTCAGAAAGCGTTAGTCCCTATGGATTTCCGGGAAAAAATCTAAATGACTTAATTTATTGCATTCTCATAAGTTATTAAGTTTTTCTATCCTCATATGTTGTTAATGAAAGCAACAATAACTGTTTGAATTAAATACATTTATTTGTTAATTAATATTGATATAATAAGGCATATATCACGGTAAAAACCTATTATCGATGTTAATCCTCTAATGATCATCTCCACATTTCTATATTTACTATCTTCATATTCTCCCTTGCTGCTGAACACTTCTAGATACCATTTATTATGTTACATCGTACATTTACTACCTAATGTGAATATTTAATCGCAATGCGTTTGATATTTCTATTCTATTTGTAAGTCTCGTAATTGGCCTCGGCTGTCTTGACTTGAATAAATTAAATAAATAAATAAATAAATAAATTTAATTAATTGTTTGAATCAAATAAGAACTCTCAACATGAGACTTTCAGGCTTCAAATTAAGACTATTGAAAGTCTTATCTTAAGACCTTTAAAATCTTAAAGTAACGTATTATTTCTTTTCTGGGTAATCATCGATGATTCTGCTTCTGGTCCTGGCTCTGCCGTCGATTAAACCGATCGCTATCCATTGGACAGCGGGTG